AGTAGTGTACAAAATACATATACATCTGGGTGTGCGAGATATGATCTGTGATTGATTTGTCGCTTAAGGGGGATAAATTTGAGATTACTGGGCCTAGGGCAAAAATGATGGAAGTAAAATAAGCCGTATAGGAGACCCTTATTTTGAGGTTATTTGAAGTGTCGGAATATTGAAAATAGTTTCATTCGATGCGGAAAAGGGTGTTAAACCGAACCCAACACCGAAAAGCGCTTTAAAATCGATGCATAAATGACTTTTTAGCGTTTGATTGAAGTATTGTTGGAACAATGAATTTTTTGACTGTGACGTCATAGTGGTCTCTTGGATATGCGGAATGAATCGTTACTAGGAGTGACGGGATGGAATTCTTGAAATGATCATATCTCGGTCATTTTTGGTCGAATTTGGTACTTGAAACACTTATTTGACTCAGAATTTTATGCTCTTTCAGATGGTGTAGTTCATTTTCTAATACAATGTAAGCCAAATTATTTGCCTGGGCGCATGCCTCTACAGAGCGTATTGATAAGACTAGACGTAGGGCCGTGTAGAGAATTGTCACTGTGACCAGACAAGAGCGCAGACCTTCAAAACTTGGTAAGTAGTGTACAAAATACATATACATCTAGGTGTCCGAGATATGATCTGTGATTGATTTGTCGCTTAAGGGGGATAAAGAAGAAAGTACGGTATGACCGAAAATCCGCCCAGTCCCAAAATCTTATAAAATTGTTCTTGAAACATGTCTAGAGTGACCACTTCCAATGTCATTTTAATTTTTGTTATTATCTCAAACCATTTCTTCAAGAGAGCTCTTCAAATATAAGTAGTTTTCGTAAGAAAATAATGCTATGACGTTATGACGTCGTCAACTTGGCCTTATCGAATTTCAACGTTTTAACGCTTCAACGTTTTAATCCCGATACAGCGCCAAAAAAAAATTGAAGTGAAAAAAAAGTTATAGCTTACTCTTCTGTTCCATTTGTGGACTATTCTTAAAATGTAGAGCAAGTTTAAATTTTCCTGAATATAAAAATTAATATTCTTTACTTGAAATATTGTTGGTCATCGATTTTGCTACTTTTTGCGAGAAAACGATTCATCAAGAAAGTCAACGGAACATTTATAGCTTGAATTAATCCATTATTCCAATTTTTGCTCGCGGTGAAATCTTCAAGTTCCGAATGAATGATATATCTTTCTTTTATTCACTTTGATTTTGTGTGTGTGAGGGAGGGTGTGTGTGTATAGTATAAGTTTGTAAATAGAAAATTAACATGAGGACATACATCATAGATATACGAAGTAACTGCATACGACATTGTTCGTGTATTATTATGATTGTTCTAAATGAAGACGGCTATCTTTTGTTGATAACATGTATATAAATTAAGACAATTTTCAGTTTCGGTTTTTTTTTCTTTATGAGAATACACATATATACAAGAACATCTTTTTTTCAATACAAAAAAAAGAACATCAGGATATTCAAATCTCACTGGCGTCGGGAGCAATTTGAAAGTGGTGGTGGTGGGTGTAAAAAAAATGTTATACATTCAAAAGAACCTGACAAGCAAAAAAAAATTAATAAATGAAATAAAAAAGGAAATGTGCATTGGCCAAACACGAAAATCTTATTTCATTTGTGAGGTGTGTGTGTGAGGGTGTGTGAGCGTGTGTGTGTGGTGGGGTAGATTCGAACTTCAGCACCAAAATTTTTTTCCAAACACCAACACTTTCCCCAATTATTTAAGCCTGTACTGCAACATGTCTGTGGAAAGTGGGGAGGGGGGCTAAACCTACACAGCAGTGTCCGATGTCTATACTAAGTCTATCTTTGGGGAAAAAAAAGTGGGGCCCGCCCGGTTCCGACGCCTATATGGATCTCTGTAAAAGCATGCAAAAACATTCAAAAGAGTCTTTTTTGTTTAATAATTAGCATTGTTAATTCCCCCTCTGATAAGTTGTGTGAAATCATTAATCCACCCTTATGATAGGATTTTCAGCATTATTGAATCACACGTTATGCACATTCTTTAATTGCAGACTAATCTGACATGTTTATTAAATGCAAATATATCTAACCTTAGTATTTTTAACGACTTGCGTTTAATTTTTATTACAGGTCTTTGTTATGCTCCGAAATTCGGAGCGAAAACGACATCTTATTTTAATCAGATTGCCCTTGATGGCAAATAAGGGCGTCTTCGTATACGAGTGAAAAATTCGCGAGAGGTTATATATCAATATATCATTAGTACTTTAAAATTAAAATGCGGGATATACATTCTTCCGAGTTATATAACACTTGTAAATCTCTTTTTGTATAATTTTGATTAGTAACATAACTTCACACGAATAAGTTGTCATTTTAATTTAATTTAATGGAGGATGTAAATTCAAACTAAATTTTTAAGCTATGTATGGCATATCTGAGCTAAAAAAAAAAATACGCGATTAAGGGTAGATTAAGATAATATTTGCTATCTACGTTCAAATAATTTTTTTCATGAATTTGAACTTTAATATTCCCAACTTTCAGTGGGTTAAATTGACTTTAAACTGCGTCTGATATTTTTTTATCCGATCCGGAAATGAATGTATATATACATGTATCATTGTTTTAAATCTCGGATATCTATGAAACGTGATTGATTTATACTGTGTAAATTACAGGAATTCTGATCTATATAAAAAGCTACAAAACAAATAGATCTTTTTAATTTCATTTTGTCTGCACGCCAGTTTTGACTTTAAAGCAAGGATTCTCAGGATTTAATGAATATAAATGTTCTTTGTGAACACTGCATCTAAATCTAACATTTTTTCACAGCACTTATTTCAATGAATGTAAACTTGAAAATATACCATTACAAGATGATGATGAAAACTTTTATAATGGATACGGGTTAATGATAACTAGGTTTATTAAACGTTTACTTTTTTATATCAAAGGGAGCAGTGAGTCGGAAATGTGTTACAGCTCTTTTCCCCAGACACAAAAAAAAACTGATGAAAATTGGGACTGATCAGGAGTGGCAATATATCAATAAGGGCCGCCACGCTAACCATTCTTTGCTTTGCAAGGTACCGATGATTATGACCCCCCCCCCCCTATTTTTTTTTTTACAATAATTGTTTCAACGAACCCCTCTCATCCAAAATGCCCCCCCCCCAAAAAAAAAAACAAAACAAAAACATGTGTTTGAATTTTCTTGTTAACTTACGTCGCTTCCTAACTCTGTCGTCTTTTGACGTTTCGGGATCCCCGACAGATAATTAATTACAATCATTTTTAGCTCACCTGAGCCAAAGGCTCAAGTGAGCTTTTCTGATCAAAATTTGTCGTCGTTGTAAACTTTTCACATTTTCATCTTCTTCTCAAGAACCACTGGGCCAATTTCAACCAAACTTGCTACAAAGTATCCTTGGGTAAAGGAGATTCAAGTTTGTTCAAATGAAGGGCCACGCCCTTTTCCAAGGGGAGATAATTATGAATTAGAGAAAAATAAATGGCATTATTAAAAAATCTTCTCAAGAACCACTGGGCCAGGAAAGATGAAACTCATGTGGAATCATCCTCAGGTAGTGTAGATTCAAGTTTGTTCAAATCATGACCCCCAGGGGGTAGGGTGGGGCCAAAATGGCCGATCAAAGTTTTACATAGGAATATATAGCAAAAATCTTTTAAAATCTTCTTCTCAAGAACCACTGGGCCAGGAAAGATGAAACTCATGTGGAATCATCCTCAGGTAGTGTAGATTCAAGTTTGTACAAATCATGACCCCCGGGGGTAGGGTGGGGCCAAAATGGCCGATCAAAGTTTTACATAGGAATATATAGGAAAAATCTTTAAAAATATTCTCCTCAAGAACCACTGGGCCAGGAAAGATGAAACTCATGTGGAATCATCCTCAGGTAGTGTAGATTCAAGTTTGTTCAAATCATGACCCCCAGGGGTAGGGTGGGGCCAAAATGGCCGATCAAAGTTTTACATAGGAATATATAGGAAAATACTTTAAAAATCTTCTTCTCAAGAACCACTGGGCCAGGAAAGATGAAACTCACGTGGAATCATCCTCAAGTAGTGTAGATTCAAGTTTGTTCAAATCATTAGTTAGTTTCATTCGATGCGGAAGAGGGTGTTAAACCGAACCCAATACCGAAAACCGCTTTAAAATTGATGCATAAATGACTTTTTAGCGTTTGATTGAAGTATTGTTGGAACAATGAATTTTTTGACTGTGACGTCATAGTGGTCTCTTGGATATGCGGAATGAATCGTTACTAGGAGTGACGGGATTGAATTCTTGAAATGACCATATCTCGGTCATTTTTGGTCGAATTTGGTACTTGAAACACTTATTTGACTCAGAATTTTATGCTCTTTCAGATGGTGTAGTTCATTTTCTAATACAATGTAAGCCAAATTATTTGCCTGGGCGCATGCCTCTACAGAGCGTATTGATAAGACTAGACGTAGGGCTGTGTAGAGAATTGTCACTGTGACCAGACAAGAGCGCAGACCTTCCAAACTTGGTAAGTAGTGTACAAAATACATATACATCTAGGTGTCCGAGATATGATCTGTGATTGATTTGTCGCTTAAGGGGGATAAATTTGAGATTACTGGGCCTAGGGCAAAAATGATGGAAGTAAAATAAGCTGTATAGGAGACCCTTATTTTGAGGTTATTTGAAGTGTCGGAATATTGAAAATAGTTTCATTCGATGCGGAAAAGGGTGTTAAACCGAACCCAACACCGAAAACCGCTTTAAAATCGATGCATAAATGACTTTTTAGCGTTTGATTGAAGTATTGTTGGAACAATGAATTTTTTGACTGTGACGTCATAGTGGTCTCTTGGATATGCGGAATGAATCGTTACTAGGAGTGACGGGATGGAATTCTTTAAATGATCATATCTCGGTCATTTTTGGTCGAATTTGGTACTTGAAACACTTATTTGACTCAGAATTTTATGCTCTTTCAGATGGTGTAGTTCATTTTCTAATACAATGTAAGCCAAATTATTTGCCTGGGCGCATGCCTCTACAGAGCGTATTGATAAGACTAGACGTAGGGCTGTGTAGAGAATTGTCACTGTGACCAGACAAGAGCGCAGACCTTCAAAACTTGGTAAGTAGTGTACAAAATACATATACATCTAGGTGTGCGAGATATGATCTGTGATTGATTTGTCGCTTAAGGGGGATAAATTTGAGATTACTGGGCCTAGGGCAAAAATGATGGAAGTAAAATAAGCTGTATAGGAGACCCTTATTTTGAGGTTATTTGAAGTGTCGGAATATTGAAAATAGTTTCATTCGATGCGGAAAAGGGTGTTAAACCGAACCCAACACCGAAAACCGCTTTAAAATCGATGCATAAATGACTTTTTAGCGTTTGATTGAAGTATTGTTGGAACAATGAATTTTTTGACTGTGACGTCATAGTGGTCTCTTGGATATGCGGAATGAATCGTTACTAGGAGTGACGGGATGGAATTCTTTAAATGATCATATCTCGGTCATTTTTGGTCGAATTTGGTACTTGAAACACTTATTTGACTCAGAATTTTATGCTCTTTCAGATGGTGTAGTTCATTTTCTAATACAATGTAAGCCAAATTATTTGCCTGGGCGCATGCCTCTACAGAGCGTATTGATAAGACTAGACGTAGGGCTGTGTAGAGAATTGTCACTGTGACCAGACAAGAGCGCAGACCTTCAAAACTTGGTAAGTAGTGTACAAAATACATATACATCTAGGTGTGCGAGATATGATCTGTGATTGATTTGTCGCTTAAGGGGGATAAATTTGAGATTACTGGGCCTAGGGCAAAAATGATGGAAGTAAAATAAGCTGTATAGGAGACCCTTATTTTGAGGTTATTTGAAGTGTCGGAATATTGAAAATAGTTTCATTCGATGCGGAAAAGGGTGTTAAACCGAACCCAACACCGAAAACCGCTTTAAAATCGATGCATAAATGACTTTTTAGCGTTTGATTGAAGTATTGTTGGAACAATGAATTTTTTGACTGTGACGTCATAGTGGTCTCTTGGATATGCGGAATGAATCGTTACTAGGAGTGACGGGATGGAATTCTTTAAATGATCATATCTCGGTCATTTTTGGTCGAATTTGGTACTTGAAACACTTATTTGACTCAGAATTTTATGCTCTTTCAGATGGTGTAGTTCATTTTCTAATACAATGTAAGCCAAATTATTTGCCTGGGCGCATGCCTCTACAGAGCGTATTGATAAGACTAGACGTAGGGCTGTGTAGAGAATTGTCACTGTGACCAGACAAGAGCGCAGACCTTTCAAAACTTGGTAAGTAGTGTACAAAATACATATACATCTAGGTGTGCGAGATATGATCTGTGATTGATTTGTCGCTTAAGGGGGATAAATTTGAGATTACTGGGCCTAGGGCAAAAATGATGGAAGTAAAATAAGCTGTATAGGAGACCCTTATTTTGAGGTTATTTGAAGTGTCGGAATATTGAAAATAGTTTCATTCGATGCGGAAAAGGGTGTTAAATCGAACCCAACACCGAAAACCGCTTTAAAATCGATGCATGAATGACTTTTTTAGCGTTTGATTGAAGTATTGTTGGAACAATGAATTTTTTTACTGTGACGTCATAGTGGTCTCTTTGATATGCGGAATGAATCGTTACTAAGAGTGACGGGATGGAATTCTTTAAATGATCATATCTCGGTCATTTTTGGTCGAATTTGGTACTTGAAACACTTATTTGACTCAGAATTTTATGCTCTTTCAGATGGTGTAGTTCATTTTCTAATACAATGTAAGCCAAATTATTTCCCTGGGCGCATGCCTGTACAGAGCGTAGTGATAAGACTATACGTGGGGCTGTGTAGAGAATTGTCACTGTGACCAGACAAGAGCGCAGACCTTCAAAACTTGGTAAGTAGTGTACAAAATACATACACATCTAGGTGTCCGAGATATGATCTGTGATTGATTTGTTGCTTAATGGGGATAAATTTGAGATTACTGGGCCTGGGGCAAAAATGATGGAAGCAAAATAAGGCATATAGGAGACCCTTATTTTGAGGTTATTTGAAGTGTCGGAATATGGAAAATACTTGATACACTTGTTTGACTCAGAATTTCACGCTCTTTCAGATGGGTAATTTTATGTAAGCCAAATTATTTCCCTAGGCTCATGCCTGTACAGAGCTAGTTATGAGTGCGTTGTATAGAGATCCCTTCTCTTTTTTTATATGGAACATTTTAAAAGTTTTTTTTTTTTTTTGCCCATTACAAAATATATATTCTCATATTTTTTTAAGAAATTCATGTTGGATATCAGAATAGAGACGCAGTTTTTTTTATAAGAATCTCTACCGAAATTCGAGCAATCATATTTTTTAAATGCTTCACATAGCCAAACCATCCTTTATATTTGATTACGCTACTAATATCTGGCTCGGAAATGTGACATTCCTAAAACATAATGATTTGAAAGGTTCAGATATCTGTATGGTGACCCTGTGGCTTTCTCTTGATAATAAGATCTGTTCTGTAGTTTGATTTACCCATTAGATCGATATGTAAAAAGCTATTAAGACCCAACATTTTAATGTCGACCGACTAATCAACTGTTGCCAGTACTCGGACGAAGATGGAGAGTAGATCAAATTAAAGAAATTGACGACCAACGTAGAAAAAAATGACTAGTCCGGTAAAAATCAAAATTTGATGTCTGAGAAAAATAACATATTGCGCAAGAAAAAAAAATAAAGAACGTCCGCTAGTAACCAGAAAATCTCAGATATATTTTTTTTCAATTGCATTCCAATTAGACAATCTTTCGGGATATTAAAATGAAAATGCAGTTGAAATTTATGAGGATGCTGCTGACGCAGTATTTTTTTTCTCAGACTCGCAATTTCTAATTATAACCCCCAACGCCTGCACTAATTATATGATTTAAATAATACTTAAAGTAGCAAGAAATGCTTCCACCTCATTAAACGAATTGCAAAATCAATTCTATTTTTAAAGAATTCGTTTTCCTTTTTAGAAATAAAAACAGAAGGACTTTTAAAATTAGGTTTGGATTTAGAATATTATTACAAAAATAAATGTTTGAATATGCAGACTCCGTAAAAGTTTTCGCATGATATATTGAAGATTTGCAATGCAATGTCACAATGAATTATAAACGCTCGGTGTCGTCCCAGAGCTATTATTCAACATTCTCTTAAATTTTAGATATATGGCTTGGGAAGAGAATCGGTTAGAAACAGTAAATAACAGTATATAATTCACATTCAAAAGTTTACATTGTTATATGCATAACATTATGGAAATCACTAGCAAACTTCATGAAAACCAATAAAAATAGAATGAAATTGTAAATTGTTTTTCAAGCATATTAGCATATTTATTTCTTGAGCGGTAGATATTGTCACTTGCATTTTCTGTTCATAACATAATTTGAAAAATTTCAAACCTACGTAGTGTCTATTTTGATTAAGCACTATACCATTAAACATTTTTACCTGCAAAACATTTATGTGTAGCAGAAATGAGCTTTAAAAATTATACAACGTCTTCATTTTTCTTTTCTTTTCAACAAAACTGTGGAAAGGAACGTCAGAATTTGCTTCGTGTGCTTCTTGTCGTAATAGGGTTTAAGGAGGGGGAAAGGTAGACAATTTAGTATGTAAATAATGCACGAAAATGGTGTGAAGAAAAATCAATCATCATTTAAACAATGCTTGGCTTTGTTTGTTGACAAGGTCAATTTTATCATAAATTGACAAATAAGAATTTCCATACAGATACATGTACTAAATAATAGAGTAAACAAGGAAAAATTAAGTAATAAATCATTTGAGAAAACGAGATATATTATTTAGATAAATAAATTTATTGACATATATTGATGCCAATAATGATGCCATGATAGGTGATAATATTTTGCTATGCTGCAGATTGTCAGACATATTAAAAACATGTAGGACGTAATGATGAAACGGAGTACAACAATTCACATTCATTGTGATTAAAATGGTACTTTTTCCTATAAAAAATTTATAGGAAGAAAGGATCAAATTTTTTTTGTGTTCGACAAAAGTTTTTCTGTACTCCATTTTTTTTTCTACGAAGTAACGTTAACTACATGTATGTATAACACTTTGATCGTCTAAATCCAAAACATTTGAAACATATCTTGAAGAGTATTTACAATCTTTCAATCTATTAAGAAACCAATATTCTTTGACCAAAACATTTATCCTCAGACAGTAAGCACTGAAACAAATTAACCAGAATATAATATTAAGGATATATATGAATGAATATTCTCTGTTGTTCTATTTTTTTTGGAAACTCAACCAAAATTTCATAACTATGGTAACTGGAATGCGAAATAATGTATACATAACAGAGATTCAATTCTACACGATGCGCGTACACTGAATTGTCTTAGTAATACTTGTATTTGATAACATCAAAGAACATTGTCTCCTCTTTACACAACATCTATTGCCTGCGTGGGGTGCTTAAATGGAGTTACCCTGGGTAATCGTAAGGGCTGTGGTGAATTACAGATTGCCTGAAAAAATGAAGAAAAACGATTCAAGTGGAGAATTTCAAGAAATAGGAGAAAAAAAATGGAGATTAATTCAATGATTTGCGTTTCTTAGTTGGCTTTTTTGTTTTTACAAACAATTGCAGATGCTTGTTAAACGAACTATATATTAAAAGAACTCTTACCGTCGTTTTGGAGTGATATCGAACTTTCTAGTAAGGAAATTCTTTTGTAATTTAAAAAAAAATATACAGAATTTTAACTTTCGTCTCCTAAATCCTAACATTTGAAAACCTTACAGTATTCTTTTAAAGCTATGGAGGCAAATACCTGTGGACATCGTCTTTTGCACATTTGGGCTCTGTAATCCAGTTGTATTGGCTCTCCAATAATAATTTCGAAACTTTCAAGTTTTGCTCGTCCAGTAAAGAAACCTCGATAGCTATGCTCTTCATTGGAAATAGACATCCCATATCGGTCGATTGTACTTCTAACTGGACATCTAAGAAAATGTATTAACATTTAGTGCAACATATTAAAGAATTATCTAGTGCTTTATAATCATTTCTTTATAAAGGAAATGTTTTCAGTTAAAAAAGTATTAAAAGTTCGAAGGTCCTACAAATGGGCATTGCGGGTACATTTCAGTAAATACAATATGTACTTAGAATCCTACTTAATAAAAACCTCTGAAACAGAATTCTTTTTCTACATAAAAAAGTAAACTTTGAAAGTAAAATTTTTATCGTAAAAATTAAATGTAGCTGATTGATTATTAAAAAAACAAATCTTTACACGGTTTATCAGGTAAAAGGTATATTAACTGAACTGTATTCAAACTTAATGTTTGCACAGGAAGAATAAAAAATGATTGCTTTGTTTTAACTTTTGAAACGTTATCATTAATATGTATTAACAAGAAACTAAATAGTATATGCTAAATCATGACCAAAGCAATTTATTTGAGACAATCTGAAAAATGCTTACCCATTCTCAATTAGTTTAAGGGTTCTCATCATTCCAGTTTGTTGATCAAGAGTGTATGCTTCAAGATAACTTACTCTAGTACCCCCAATGTCTATGTATGCAAAAAATCAAATGACTGTACATGTGGAGAAGACATTTATTGTAAGCATTTATGACTTAATTGGAGATATCCTTTTTGAACGAATAAATTTACTTGCATCTCTTTAAATATGTTAATTAACGTATCAGAATGTTAAATATTTGGTAAAATCAAGATTCAGATATAATGCATAAAGACTTATAAAACAAATATTGCGGTAAAATATATCACTTTTAAAGCAAGGCTGATATTAAAGTAGGTTTACACATTTACAAAAGATATAGGCAACTCTACATCTAACACAGTTAGCAATTAACACTTATTTGAGTATGGTCTACAAACAGAAAAGGTCAACACTCACCTGGATTTTTGCCACTACTATCTACATTGAAAAAGAAGATATCGCCTCGCGGAACCTGTTGAAGACGTCGATTGTTATCGTTTGTCAACCTTACTTGAAATGGATTCATTTCCTTTGTTACATCAACTGGGTTCTCGCCAATTTTCCTGCAACGAATTTCATTTTAGCTTTGTTTAAAAACTATTTACTGAATTTCTATTTAGCTAGAAAATATTTCCAGAAGTTATGAAGTAATTTTATTTTAAGTATCGCAAACATAATGTTTACTTTTATCTCACTTTTCTCCTATTTGATTTTGGTACTTGCCTTGATTTATAGACACACGTCACTTTATGTACTGAATCTGACATGCTAAAGAGACCTTTGTGATGCGCGGTAGCTACATCTACGTCATAAACCGTGTCCCCTGTCTGAATATCAATAGAGATTTACAATTTTTGCCATAAAACTACCTTCAAGCTGTTAATTTTTATGGTTCACATTATTTTTGCAGATCTTTTATGTGATCATTGATATTTGATAAAGTATTTAAATTTGACAAAACATAGCACACAAGTCATTTATCATGAAAAGTTCTTAAAAATGTTTTCGTTAATTAATTTTGTTTTGTTTAAGTTATAAGTGCACAAGATCAATAAATATCACCTTTTCGTTCATAGTTTTTGTCAATGAACAGGGTGAAATGGCTCGGAGGGGGACCTCTAACTCATACATTCTCACACCTGGGACGTCTGTGACCATTTCTCTCAGCTGGCATCCGAACATACTCTGTCTCAGATACATTTCTCCTTGGAACGAAGGGGGACGAAAGCTTCGAATCTTCATTGAGTTTAAACCACATTCAGCACTAACTGCAACGAAACATCAAAATACGTCAATTGAGAATTGAGAATTTTCTTAAATGTGCTGTAGCATTCATTTATTTTACATGAAAAGTTTTTACATTTAAATTATTGCATTAAGTTTTACTGTGAGGTTAAAAAAATATGACCAAACGAGTGAAAAATTCTCAATGGGGACGTTAAGAAAGATAAAAAAAACTTGAATGCATTTTATTTTACTACGAAAACATTCTTATCAACAAAGTCACATTATACAGTCTAAAGCGATTTTGTAGTGCTTTTAAATAGGAAACTTTGAGGACTTTTACTGTAAAATTGTCCATTGTTGTAGAGGCTCTAACGTATGACTTACGAACAGGGATTTCGCATTGGGAACCAATAAAACCATCTGTGCAGTAACATAATGTACTACTATAGCAGATTCCTTTGTTGAGACAAGTGGCCCGACAGTCTACAGAACTTGAAATAGTGGCTGCAACAAAAGTGGAAGAATGACACGATGATGACACACAAGTTGTTGATGTGAATTCTACGTGAGACAAAGGCGTTTCTTTATAAAATTTAGTTTAAATATCTTATGGAACCAAAGCAAAACTAAATCAAACATTTGGTCTTAAAAGCAGAAATCTTAATTAGTTATTGAAATATTATGCTTTTTAAATGGATATAATAAACAATTGATTTTTTTTTTCAGATTAAAGAAAACTTTAAGGGAAATTTAGGAAAGTAAATGCACACTAATTGTGTAAAAATAAAGTTGTCACGTAATGAACTTTTCCTTCAGAATCCATCTGTTATGTAATTTCCCCCTTTCTGTTGATGTTTATGCATGAAAAATATTTTTTCTAGAAATTAATATTTTGCTGAAAAATGCTCCATGTTAAAAAGATTGAAAAAGATTATATTTCACAGATGCCAAAAACAAAATGTATCATAAGATTTTGTGCAGTTATATGCATTTATATTCTAGTTTCATATAAATTTGTCAAAAAAAACTAATCTGCTTTCAGAACAATGCATCATCCATTTGAAAAAAAACATATATAACAACAAAAAAAGTTTTATGCTGAAAATTGTCAAGAAAATGTTTCCTGTTTTCTTGACAAATTTTACCTATTTCAGAAAAATGAAATAAAAACTGTCTCTTACAAGAATCTAGTCCACAATCGTAGCCTTGAAACCCAGGAGGGCAATTACAACGACCAAAGTAGTCACACGGGGCGTTATTTTTACAGTTGTATCCAGGATTCAGACAATTAAAAGATGCAAGACCTGAAAAATATAAAATAGACTACCTATAAAATAATGTAGACTTATGTAAAAAAGGGTGGCAAACATTTTCCATTGAAAATTTTAACTTTGCGACAAAATTTTTAAAATCTGAGAAAAAGGTTTCATACAATAACAGTAGTTGTTGGCAAAATAAGAAAATTTAGGATTAAAAAAAGTTTCCAGTCAAGCAAAAAATAAATCAATCGACCAGGTTGACTTTCTAAAATATTTTCATTCCGTTTCGATATTTGGTACTTGTATGTCGTAGAGATAAATATAATGTATTGGCTGAAGAGACACCGTGGCGCACAAACGGGAAAATTGACAAACGTACAATTTTTGTAAGATCCGTGTAAATTTTGTTCAATTCCTGAAAGTGTTAGGTCTCATAAAATCACAGGTTTCAGAACCATAAAAACCTACTTTTATGGGGAAAAAAATATAGTAAAAGTAATTTCAGTTTGCCCACGAAAATGTAGCTTAACTTCGTTACCATGGTTACCATGGTCTCATGTAACAAAGAATGAATGTAGGTAGTCTGAGAATTTTGAGACTCTTAAAAAGTTATTAGAATATATTTTTCACCTTTGCATGCACAAGTTGAATGTTGTTTACAAGTTTGCAAGTTTGAGCTAAAAATATAAGTGGCGTGACCGTGACATACACGAAATGGTAGGCATAACCTTTGTTTTTCTGGCACTTATATTTTGAAGTCTTTTCTAAAGGAGGGGATAATAAAGGATGGGTTATCACTTGATAAGGTGCTAAGGAAACTATAGCGATAAAGGATATAATGTTTTCAAACTTTACGAGAGAAAAACAATATATTTCATGATAAAAGCAAAGAAATCAAAATTATATATTAATACTTTTCTTACGTTTTGCACAAACTGAAAGGATTAAGAAAAAGAAAAGAAAAAATAACTGTCAGTAAAGAAAAAAAATCTAATACATCACCAGTACATCAAATGCATAAAATTTTAATTCCAAAAACTGTCAACTCTTAAAAGTTAATGCATTTAATCTGTACAGTAATTATGATTTACCTAAGCTACTTTACGCTCGACAGAACTTTTTATTTTATGAAAACATGATTGTGGCTTTAAAGGTTTTAAAAGTTGTGGACATTATGCAGTTAAAAAATTAGAAATAAACGTGGTTATATGACAAACTATGTTTGTGAATAGCTTTGTACTTACCAACTGCAAAGCAGAATAGGAAAACAAAGGGACCCAAAGGTGACATTTTCTATGAAAATTAAAGAAAAAAAATTTTTTGGTAAAAAAGTAAACGAATTAAAATAAAATTATTGTAAATTGCTTTAATTTATCATAGACCCTCGACAATCGTGCACGATAAATGACATTTGTTATCCTTAAGTTAGCATCCATTTAAATAAAGAATATACGACAAATTAAAACAAAAGAATAATATTTCATAGAGATGATAGAAAGTCACCAGGGAAATATATATTTTTTGTTAAAGAGATAAATTTGAATTCTTAGATACGTACCAAAAAATAAATATTTGATTAATATGAAAAATTTTATTCTATCATCACTTTCAGATTTCATAGTTTCCATTCTATAAATTTTGCTTTTTTTATTATCAAAAGTGATTACTGATTTTTTGTCTAATTTCGGTTATATAAAAGCATTCATTGTGCTTGACAAAGTGTCGTGATTTTAGAAATTTATGTTTAAAATGCGGCTTGTTGGAAGATATGACCAGTCCAATCCTACTACTAAACCATTTAACAAGAGTTAAATTTGCGTTCAAACATTAGTAAAGGTGTCATTTCTGCGTTTTGTTTGCTTGAAGTATTTCGTCCGTAAATTCGCCCTCAAAATTTATTGAAAAAACTCGCAGTACTTTATTGTAAAATCAATTCACTTATTTCATTGTTTTTTAATCTTACCTCAACTGTTACAATCTTTAGAGAAACAGAAATTGAAAAAGAAATTGTGAAAATGATAATATTCAATTTCTTAAGGTAAGTCCAAATACATGATCACAAGTAATTGTTTTCACACATTAATTGTGCAGTTCTATGTAATATTAACCTTTTTAAAAGATTCCAAATTATATTCAAAGGAATACGATTTGAAAGCTTATATTTTAGATGTATACTTTCTTTAAAAATATATTTTAAAAAAAGACAGATATTGCAAAATGAAATAATATTTCTTATGATTACATGTACATCCTCAATAAAGAGTTCGTCTTGATATTTAAATTAAAGTCCTATAGTACCATTGTTGGTATGTAATTATTGCTTTCCATTTTCTTTAATAAACTAAACTCACCTAAAAAATAAAAAATGAAATAAATACGTTTTAATTCTACTTTCTAAAGACTTATATCCCTCATATAAGTATATTTAAAATAATTACCAAAATTGTAATTGTTTTGAATTACTAAAAAAAATCACCGAAGGTCAATTTTTCAACATTCAAGCAGTGATCTATGTTATATTTGAAAATATTAAATGAGTTATAGAATAGCGTAAGTCATTGACTTCACATAATGTTGTTAATTATGAAAAAGATCCCTGATGTTATTATAAGACTCGAGATCTACTCTTGTATGCGACTGTCGGGTATCTACATACAGCAACCAATATTACAAAAATAAGCTTCTATTTGTTGTAAGTTAAGCCAACTAAAAACCTTCAATTATGCTTAAAATACTTTAATACTTACCGTAAGATAACATTCACTTATGGAAAAAATTGAAACACTCCCTTCTATCAAATCAAGACCCTCTTAAATATTTCTTATGACCGTAGATACGTTACCCCAAAATTATTAATTTATGGATGAAACATATGAATTCATCAACCCCAAAAGAGATCAGAAGACTGCATGGTCTTGTATTCTTTCAACAAATGAATTAATTATCTTTTTTTTGAGTTTTGTTTTAAAAAGAAATTAACAATGAAATAAGAAATGGTTAACTCTCATTAAAGCAAGAAAGCTTTTAATCGAATTGAGTAGTCAACTTTTAACTGATTGATTAAACAGAGTTCTAACATTTACCAAATGTAGAAACATTTGCTCTCAGATCATAGCACTGTGAGATATTCCGTTCCAGTTTAGATTCACTCATTTTGAAGACATCTGTTGGTGATGTTAATATTAAAATATGCAGTGGAACTTCTGTTGTGCAGAGATTTACAGAACTAATGGAAACGATGAAACGACAGTTCTTATATATGTAGACACTACTTTGGTGGCTCTTAAAGTATGTGAAATCCCTGACGCCTTGCGATGATGGTGTCTGAACGTCCCATCAACCACTACCAGGACCCAACAGATGGTTCATGTTTTCAGGCAACAAATGTTACATTTTACAACTGTATCATTTGTTTGCATCTCTTAAAGAGTTTAAATTCACTCTATTAGCTTGTATTTTGTCTTGTCAAAGCGTGACACATAAAATTTCTCAAGAAGGATCTGTGTTTATTTATAATTTATTAGCTTTGAAAATAAATAATATGATAAAAGAAATTTTCAACATTTTAAGATCAAAGAGTTTTGTTAAAAAAGAAATAAAAGTAAGACTACAATAATTTCATTTGTTTTACTTGGAATCTCAAGATTTCATTAATTTTTACATAGTTATATGCAAAAAATCTTTAAAATGCAGATGTATTTATACGATTGTAGAATACGGGGCAATAATGTTATTAGAGCTTAGTAAAACCATCCATTCCTCTAGTGTTTATATCATTGTAAATTGTTTTGAGTAATTATTAATTAATTAAAAAAGTATCTGCAATATTTAATTCCTTTGAAACTTAATTCGTTTCATATAATTTTTGTTTCTTTTGGAACACATAAAAGGTCAAGAGTCTACATTTTATTATGATAATATATGAAAAGGCAACTGTATAAGATGGGGTTTTAGTGTGTTGTTAATATGTATTGTCATTTTCAGAAAATGGCAATTCACATATTTTATTTTGTAATGTTTCATTCCAGAAGGGGGATGTATATATCCATTTTGAATTGAAATAAAATTTGAACAAGTTCCATTAAAAAAAACTTAAATGAAAAATTGTTTCAAAACAAATATATAAAGTACACCAAAATTGTTACATTATCCAGAGACGGCTTGTGATGCACTTCCTTTTCTTGTCTGAATTAAGAAAAACCAAAAACCATTTTATCACAATCCATTTTGAGTTATTTATTCTTTATAAATGTATTTATTCCAATTGCAGCTCATAACTGCCAGATGCCATATCAACTACATCGTATAAATATCAAATATGGTGTAACCGCTTTCTCTTATAGAATTTTCATTCGTAATCTGCATCATTTGGATGCAATTAAAAAGCAATAAAAATTCATGATTCCATTTTTATTTTATTAAGGTTGCAATGACAATTTGTAATTTTGACAAAGTACACGCGGTGCTAATGAGAAAAGTTACAGAATCCTTCAAATTAATAGAATTAAATAACTTACAAAAGTATTTTTAATATGACTGAAACGATAATTACTCGTCGTTAAATGTCTTAATAAAGCAAATTTACCTCTGAATTATGTTGTTTTACTGATTAAACAAAAGTTTGTTTCATTTGAACTCGTAAAAGAAACCACAATATCTTAAGAGAATGTCTAAGATGCAAATATTGTACATACACTATTTAAAGCAGCACAGTCGATTTTAAATGCAATGGGAAACTGATCAAGTCGATGTAAGGGTCGGGTTCATTTATTATGTTATGTGTTAGCTCACTTGAGCCAAGGCTCTTTTCTGATCGAAATGTGTCCGTTGTCTGTCGTCGGTGTTATCGTCGTCGTCGTAAACTTTTCAATTTTTCATCGTCATCTCAAGAACTACTGAGTCATTTTTAACCAATCTAGGCAAAGAATATCCTTGAGTAGAGATGATTCAAGTTTGTTCAATTAAATGGCCACACACCCTCTTCCGAGGGAAGAGATGACTAGGGAATAATGAAAATAGAATCTGTGTATTTTTTATCTCAACAAACAGTTGGTGAGAATAGATGAAACTTATATGAAAGCTTCTTGACATAATGTAAATTCAAGTTTGTTCAAAACTTAAACATCAGAGGTATGTTAAGGCAAGAATGGGTTTTAGATAAAAATATATTTGAAATATTTTTAGAAACCCTCTTCTCAAGCAAAGTTATATATGCTATATTGATATTGAGACATCCTCAAATAGTACAAAATTCAAGCCTCCCACCCCAATTCGGCGGGGCCACAATAGGGAATCCAAGTTTTAAATTGAAATATATAGGAAAATCTTTTAAAAATCTTCTTCCCAACAACCACTGGGCCTGAAAATCTAAATCTTGTGTGGAAGCATCCTTGGGTAGTGTAGATTCTAAATTTTTCAAATCATGACCCCCGTGGGTAGGGCAGGGGCACAATACGGAATCCAAGTTTTACATTGAAATATATAGGAAAATCTTTAAAAATCTTCTTCTCAAGCACCTTTGGGCCAGAAAAGCTGAAACATTTATGTAAGCATCCTGGGGTAGTGTAAATTCTTAATCGTCCAAATTATGACCCCTGGAGTACATGTAGGTTGGGTCCCAATCGATATTACAAGGGGGATCTGTTAAAGAACAGCATGGCCAAAGTAACTCATTTGAGCGATGTGGCCCGTGGGCCTCTTGTGTTTATAAACTAAAATTATTTACTTAAGTTCTTCACAGTATGAAGAAACGACCAGTCCAGTTATTCAAAGATTTAAAAGGAGAAGGTACATTAATCGAACAGTGATGTCAAAAAATCTATTAACAAAACAAATTTCTGAATAGGACGTAGAACACGAGCCCCTGGATATTTCACAGAAATGGGATCAGTGCATAAGAGGCTTACTCCTTCGAGGTCCATGATCCGACCCCTGGGATTTCCAGGGTTCCGTGTTTATTGATCTCTTATCAAATATTTTTGTGGGCTTTTGTCTATTTTGCTTCTTAAATGCTTGAACGATGATTGCTGTTACACATCAAGATGAAAACAAGCACTATCATGTTATTACAATGCTACTGAATACATATACATGTTATATAAAAAGAAGCACGATAAAGTACTTACGAGAGTTTTGTTTCTTGATTTAAAATTTATATTTTGTAGAGGTTGTTAATAGATATATTAATACAGTCTCCTTTTTTCTGGGGAAGGGGAAAGGGCTAAATGTCAATGTTAATTTTTTTAATGCTAGAAGTGGATTGATTGATTGACTGTATGTATTTTATTACGTCCTATTCTAGAATATTTTACTTATATGGAGACGTCACCATAAACTGTTGAAGGGCTTTTGTTTTGACCTTTACTCGGCACGTATGTCCATTGATCAGGTAGGGATCTTTATCGTGCGATTCGAACTCACGGCCATCCGAACACGGAGCGAGCACTCTACCGACTGAACTGCCAAGACGATGGGTGGTTAACGTAGAGAGTGATTCACTACCAAACAAATCTTAGCTCATGTTATTAATGTGCCTGATTTATTACCACATTTTACCTTAACTAAAACACGCTGTGATGCAAGACATATATTGGACTAACTTTTAACAAATAGATGGTAATTTCGTGTATGCCCACATTTCAAATTAGGTATACGTCATCTTTAATAACCTCGATCGATTTTATTTTGGGATAACCAATAAGAATTCGAGAGCAAGGTTGAAGATACTGTAAATGAATATAATGTTTTCTTTACTTTTTATTAGAAATTGAATAAAGTTTGTATAAAAAAAAACCCCTACCAATTTTCACTTTTTAATTTTTGTTTGTTCAATTAATTAGTTTTTTTTCCTTATTTTTGTTGTAAGGACACAGTTTTAAAGTAAACACACGGACCCCTCATTATCTAATTGCTTTTAATATTTCACTGTTAGATGGTATAAATTTGTAGCAGTTATCAGTGTAGATTTTTCATTAATCTGAACATACTAAAGAAGGCAAAAACAATCAATTTGATACATTATTTTTTAAAAAATATATAATTGCCCTTTTAACATATTTTTAAAAATAATGGACTTTATACTTTTTGAAAGGAGAGTTGAAAATCATTATGAATAAATATATTCGATTCCTTCGACAAAATTCAAAACAATTTTGAAAACCAATGAGATTAGAGAGCATTCCTGTAAATGAACATAATGTTTTCACTACTTTAAGCATTTGTTTTGCTTAAAATCAAAAAAGGTGTCAGGTGTTTATTTGTACAAATGTTTATATGATATCATTTAGTGGATAAAATAAAAATACCAATTTTCACTTAATTTTAAAGTTTTTTTTCTTATTTTTCAATCACATCCTTGTAAATTAAGCGAGATTTTTCATTGAAACTGAGGAAAGCAACTCAATATACATTATATTTTTTTTTTAACTTTTAAGCATATGAAACACTTGGTTGAAAATCATTATAAATAAATTATATTCTTCGACAAAATTCAAAACTTAAAAACAATTAAATTGCCTGAACACATTCGTATTAAAAATCAAGATGTGTTTGCGAAACACTGATGTCCACGTATGGCAGCTTATGACGAGGATCGAAGATTCACAAATGCTTGTCAAAATTGTTGGTATCCATGGAAGTTTTTGTCACAAGGAAAATGCTTGTGAACTATGAAAGCCTTAACACTAACGCTTTATCAGTTATAGTCAAGGTTTAAGTTTCTTAAATGAGACAAACTCTAAGGTCAAGAGGTCGAAAAGTTTTATACCAACTGAGAGGTCTTGTCACAGTGAATACACATACATGTGTATGAAGTATGAAAACCCTTGTGCCAACTATTCAAAAGTAATAGCCAAGGTAAAGCTTGGTAATATTTTGTTAAAGTAGGTCAAACTCCAAGCTCAAGTAGTCAAATTTGGCGGTACCCTAAGAAAGGTCTTATCACAAGGTATACACCTGTGAAATATAAAAGCCTTAGCCCACCCCTGAAAGATTATGACCAACGTTAAAGTTTTTGCGGACAAACACATTAATAGACAAATGGACCGACAGGTTGACGGAAGGCCATGGCAAAAACTATATACCCTCGAATCTTCGATTACGGTGTCATAAAAACAAGCAATGTAACAAAGATCCAAAGAAAATGTTGCCCTCTCATAAAAACATCAGCTTCAAAATGAAAGAGAGGGCTATATCATGCAGCATTTATAGGTATTATACAGAGCCGTTATGTACAGTGTAGTTGATTAGTCATTGTAGATAAACGCACGTTCCGTATTTTATTTTGGTCGTACATTTTGGTTAAACAAAAATAAACTTACATAAAGTCATGGTCAGCTTATTAATTTACATACGTCATTCTATTGACATAATTAACATATCTTCTCTATCTTATAGACAGTAATTACAGCATCATGAGGGAAAAAAGGTGGTCCGCATTAACTCAGACAAAAAGTGGTAACGTCAACCTTTTATTGTTATGGGAGAATTATGAAAACCACACGTGAAAATACTAAACAACAGATCGTATGATAAATTCCAAATGGTAGCTAACCACAATATTATTTAAAACCTTATTTTTTGTCCAAAATGAAATACATTAATAAATCAAAATTATTAATTATCAGAAAAATCAAAGTAAATGATAATAAATTCATCTTCGTGTAGGAAAATCACGATTTAACCTTTGATTTCATTAAAAGAATGAAAGTTTAACGACACGCAAATTATAGGAGTGGTAACTATTCATATACCTATTACAGATCAACAGTTGTTTTTTCATTAAATGACCATATGACTTTGAATGAAATATGAAAAAATTTCAATTTTTAAAGAGTTTTTCTTTTTAATGAAAATTCAATTTTCAAAGTGAAGGTAAAAATGAATTCGCAAAAATCTGTATCGTTGTCAAACAATTTTTCAGAATCAATTTTATGTCTCCATAAAACATTGTAGTCTTATAATCTAGTAGTATGAATAATGATTCAAAATTAAAAACATTCAAGGTGGGCAAGAACACTTCACTTATGTGAATAAAAATCATTTACTTGCAGTTCTACCAGTAAATTAATGCATTCACGTTTGAACTATTTCAAAAGTAGACATATACCATTAGGTAACTATATAAAAATAATATATCTTATCAAAACACAAAAAGCGAACATACCTACTATGTCCAACGCTACTCCAAAGGTGTTGGGGCGACCAAATAGGCTAATGAATTACTCCTATGAATCATTTACATATTCACCATTAACATTTTTTCTTGCGGTTCCAATTTAAGTGTGGATATCGAGATTGAATAAGTGTGATTATAATAATATACACATGAAAGCACTCTATGCATAAATTGGACGTGAGGTGCAGCTCATTAAGAATATAATTCATTGCACAAGCCAACAAGTAAGTAATTTTTTGTCTTTTAAATTTAGTATATTCCTTAGCTTAGTTTATTGTTAAGATTTTTTTTCATCTATTTGGTATAATATATATACGAAGAAAAATTTGTTTCTTAATTCTGTTTGTTCAAAAATAGAATTTGTGATTGGATGTCAAATTTTATTTGTCATGCGTGAAATGCTTTATTATAATTTTACGTAATTAAAAGGGCATGCAAGTCATTCACAGAATTGTAACCGAAATTCATTTGAGCGGATTTATAAAATCCTTGCTTTTTATAGCTGTTTTATCCTTGTGTTAATAATCAACACTACTTTAATAATTTATATAAGTGCATTTAAAGCATGCGCAGACAATAGAAGAAATGAGGTGGGCTGAGGAAAGAGTATTACTATTAACAACCTGAGAGAATTTATTTGGAAAATAAAAATAATAGAACTTGGGTACAATCTACTGTCAATATGTTTCTTTTTAACATTTGATGTGTGCACGCATATTGTATATAGAGATGTTAAAAAAAATTAAAAATGGATGAAATATCTAATTGCATGAGATAACATTTCCTTAAAGGAAAAGTAAAGAAAATGAAGAGAATAAAGAAGCAGAAAGAACAATATTTTTGATTCCTGAAATAAAAAAAAAGAAATGCGTGGTTGTTTTAGTTGATTCGTTGAAAAGAACTGGAACTGCGCAAAGTTGGAAAGACCTTTGAATGGAGATAAGATTGACGTTTGTTCAATTTAATGTCAGTTGCCGATCGCTTCTCCTTTATTATAAAACTATAAATTGAGGTAATATTTTAATTTGAGCCTATATTGATTTAAAAATCCCAAACATTAATTTCACACCGAATATTTTAAGTTTTTATGTTTTATAAATTGTTTTATAAATTCTATATTATTCTTCATTTGAATAGATAATGTATAAAATATCATCTGTTCGTATATATTTAATTTATATTTTTTGTAATATTTACATGTATCAATCTTACTCCATTTTATCCAAAGCACATTACTTTCTACTTTTTTTGAAAGTATAATATTAAGGAAAATCCTATAAAAATACTTTTTACTAACTTGTAGTACAAGATTTCCCTTATTTTTCTATTTTCATGTAATTAAGAGATTGTTATTGCTTACCTTATTTATTCTGGCAGCATGTGCAGCGAAAGATATAATTTACAGAAAAACCAGATTTGCGAGACTCTGAAAAATGACAAAAAGTTATATAACAATTATAAACTTTCCGGCTTTTCACACTTCATACAATATATCTTTGTCCCATCTGTTACAGAGAACTATATTTTTGCTTGTTCTGGCATTGGATTTATGGAAGATTTCATGGTTATTTCTGTAAAGAATTATTTTTAGCTAAGAACTTTGAAAAATCTGTATTTAATTGAAGGTGCTAAAGAAATTAATTGAAACAACTCTTCTTAGTATTTTTTTTCAACAGACGTCATACTTTTGAATAGATATTCACTTTTCTGAAATACATCAAAATCAATACCACACAATAAAAGGTTATATGAAGTCCGTTCATATAAGGTTAACTGAAGAAGCTTGCCGGATTATATCGTACATGTATCGACATAAGAATGGACTATACATCGTCGATATATCTTAATGTCAAGTTGAAGGCCACATCAAGTGTTTTCTTATTTTCACGTATTTTGCACAAATTCTGCTTCATATGAATACAAAAATAGATCTGCTAACAACGGGGCGCAATTGGTACCCATGGGAATTCTAATAGATTGTTGGAAGACCTGGTCTCCAAAAACAACATAGATATTGTCAATCAGAAACTCAACTCAATCTTTTTGATGTTAACTTCAGAGTGCTTGTGTGTATAATCAGAATGTTTTGTAACAAAATAATTTTGCAAATGAGCAATGACAAGGTAAATAAATTGACAAGTTCCATTTTTATTTTTTTTTAAAAGCAGCTTGCAATGATATCAAAAATCCTAATCTTTAATTTATTGTAGAGAATGGCTCTGTATAAAGTTGAAATGCCTTAATTTTTAGCTGTTGATTTTGGAAAAATCTTGTGATTTCAAATTGTCTAAAAGTTCCTTGGAATTTTAGATCTAGAAATGTACTCCTTTCTTGAATATATTGTTGCACAGTACTCTTGAAGTTTCTTCTTCACTACTATTAATATCTTATTGAGAAGTAAAGAAAGAGTCTTGGTTGTACATTTACTGGAAACCGCTATGTATCTTTTTTTAAGGATTCTCATGACGTTTTGGAGTTCAATATATATACGGTAGCTCAAAATTATTTTGGTTCTTTGGGATATTCCAAACTGACATTTGAATTTGAAGAATTTCCTCCTTAGAAAGGGAACTATGAGTATGAGTTGGATTACCACTAGAAATAAATCCAAGTTCTTCTAAAATACAATTTATAAAATGATTAAAGATACCACAGAGTATGACACATCTGTTTTGGATATTTTACTTGAAAAAGACGTTATTGATAATCTAACAACCAAACTCTATGATAAACGTGATGACATCAACTTTTCAATCGTCAACTACCCTTACTTTTGCAGCAATATACCTTCATCACCTGCATACGGAGTTTATATATCTCAGTTGATTTGATACACAAGTTCATGCTCTACGTATGAAACATTTATAAGGCGAGGTGAATTATTGACAAACAAGTTGATGAAACAAGAATATCAGCAGTCTTGTTTAAAGTCATCACTTTGTAAGTTCTATAGTGGCTAAAATAACTTTCTTGGCAAATAAAATTTATCATTATGTCGGTCAAAAGCTCTACAGACCTCATGTTACTTGCTTCAAAAATTCGACTCTAAATAAAATTATCTGACTCTGATTCTGATTGAGTCCAATGCTGACCGACGTTTTTTCAAAAAAATTGCTAATCCATTATCAATACATTTAATTGGCGACGAATTTTTCCGTTATTTCCAAATCACGACAAAGTGCACAAGGGCGGGTACGACCGGTCGGCAGGGGATGCTTCTCCATGGTACCGATCCAACCTTTGATGTTTTGGAGGTCCATGTATGTTCTTTTCCTATTTTGTATTGTTTTATGAACTTTTGATCTTGAATACTGTTCGTTATCTCTATATGTTTTATTATATGAAAATGCTTCTCATAAGAGATGTTTTAAAATAAGGTAAGCAAAATTCATTCCATTGACAGGTTATATTTGTTAACAAGTTTATCATAACGACTATAGAATTTACAAAACGCTGACTGTAAACGAGACTTTTAAAATTCCTCTAACACCAACTAATTTGTCAGTAGCATACCTCGGTATTAAAAATTATCGTAATCAGAGCATACTCTGAATTAACAAATATGTTTGAAGATGGAAGCCCCACAAGTGGGTGATTGTGGGTATAACAACAAAAAGTTCTCGTTTGAAATACAATTTAATTGATAGTATTACACCCAAATGTGAAACAGATGAGGCAGAATCTTTGGTGTCTTTACTTCACTGAGACATATCAAATCAATAGGGAAATAAATTATCTTTTAAATATTTTTTAATAGATGTTCTTTAAAAATTTAACCGTTCACGGTACCCTAGTGGTAGAGCGTTTGCTTCGTGATTGGGAGGCCCGAGTTCGATTCTCGATCGCAGCGGCGCGTCAAACCAAAGACGTAAACATAGGTAGTGACTGTTCCTTCCCCAAGTGCTCGGTATTAGAAGTGAAAGTCACGGGTCTTTTGGATATGATCTTAAAAACGTAGGTCCCGTGTCGCGGTAGGCGTTAGTAAGATAAAGAACCCTCACTGCTCAATGGCCCTGAGTGCCGAGTATAGGTCTAAATTTGAAGCCTTTGACCGGCATACGGTGACGTCTCCGCATGAGTGAAAAATTCTCGAGTGGGACGTTAAACAACATGCAATCAATCAATTAATCAAAATTTTAAGTTTTAGTATATGTTTTTGCATTCACATACAATAGAGAATCGTTTGTAGAAGTGGGGAACCAGACTGAAATTTTTAACCCGAGAATCTCCCTCCTTCCGTCCCTATAAAATTGCAAGAATTTACTTTGTGTAAATATTTATGTTATATTTTTTCTTTCTATTCAATACATCAGATTGGTTTGAAAGACCATCGATTTAGGGGCATTAAGAGGATTTTATATAGATTTTTTTATTCTTTGATTTTTTGATTCTTTAGTTTTAAAAGTATTGTATCTTAAAAGTTGAACTTGTGTGTCATGCTATGCCTTTAACGTTTGCATATTCAATTTTCATTCAAACAAATAATTCACATATTTTGTTAATAAAAAACAATGACTGCTTAATATCTATTATTACTGTATATGATTATAAATATTTTAATTCCTTCAGCGTCAATTCAAACTAGATTTAACAACGAAGATAATTGTCATTTCCTGCTTTAATTTTTACCCTTTACGTGTTAACTAGACAGCTAGATAAATTGGGAGAATGCACTTGATCGGCTTCCATTCAACATTTTTTACCAAATGTTTTTGTGTCATATTAAGTCTAGATATCTTATTTTTTAATCTTTTTTATTAACTTAAAATTCAGGTATTCTACTCATTTCGGTAATTAGAAGAAGAATTTGCATTACAGTTTATCTCTCTAGATTAATGGATTATCAAAAGTCAATCGAAGTATATAATAGAATTTAAAATTCTATTTTTTCAGTATATGTAAATCAATGTGTTAACACATGCCTTTTGAACACACAAATTGAATAAAAGTGCGAATCACCTTTATGTAAAGTTTGTCAGTTTACATATCCATAAATTCTGAAGAAAGAACGTTTA